AATATCTTATTCCTAGACTTAGTTTAACTCCTACAGACTTGAAGCTCCCCTTCACGTTTCAGCGCAGACAATTTCCTCTTATGGTTAGTTATGCGATGACGATTAATAAGAGTCAAGGACAATCGTTAGAAAGAGTTGGTGTATTCTTGCGACGTCCAGTTTTTACTCATGGACAGTTATACGTTGCGGTATCGAGAGTTACAAGTCCATCTGGGTTAAAATTTGTCATATGTGACGATGATGGTCAACCAAGCAATACTGCTCTAAATGTTGTTTATAAAGAAGTGTATAATAATTTATAAGTTTTTTCATATGTCATTTGTTATATGTTAAATTCTATCCTTCGAATGTTTAAATTATAGTTCTATTATCATTCAAATCCTTACATTCTCGATGAAATGTTTTCCCGTGCAACGCACGGGTTCAAAACTAGTGATTAATAATGGGAAAAGGGGCAAAAAACCCCTTGAAGCTGTTACAAAAGGGCATTCATGCCCTTAACCTCAGTATAAGTTTTAAAAGCTTTAAAATCAGTAAAAGTTAGGCAATAAACCCCTTGTTAACTGTGAACCGGTTAACGGAAATGGCAAATGGCAACTATTAAATTTATTCCGAGTTACTATGTCCGTATATAACACGATTTATTATATCTGACATTATTTTATATGTTTTTTCTTCTAATTTCATCTTGTGCTCTATTAAAAAAGTGAATCTAGAATATTTTTGTCCTAAAATCAGGACATACTTTCTCTTGTTTTAAATAAGTGCAACACACCGGTATAACGACGTGATGCGATTGTGCCTCCGTTTGTGATCTAAGAAAAATTATAATATATTTCAGTTTGATTCGATTTGAATTTGTTATCTTTGAAAATATAATAAAAATTTATTGATTTTTTAGTTCGATTTGATTTTATTCGGTTTTTAAAAATATACGGAATATTAAAAATTTAGTGAAAATTTCGTATCACATCACTAGTGCTATCACGTTTATTGGGTTCTCTGAATTATCTTTAAACTAATTAATTTGTATTGTATATGTTCTTTAATGGATATCATGTATTTGTTATTCATGATAAATTTACAACTGTGTAATACTTCTCCCGTTCTTAAATAAGTGTCAAAGTTCATTTTTCATATTTATCAATTCATAATTTTTACCATTAATTAATATATACTTCATTCATCCCTAAATTATCTTCCAATGTTGTTTTTGCACGGGAAAAAAGAAAGAGAAAATTATGTGGTGAACAGTTGTACAGAAGAGAGAGAAACATGTAAGAATGTGTAAAACATGTTGTGAACCACAAATTCTTTGAAAAAAAAACAGATTATTTTGAGACGGACAAAAAATTTTAAAAATTAATTCAGGGATGGAGCGAGTATAATTCTCTCTTAATAAAAAACAGATTTTTGAAAATTTACAATGAGACAAATTTAAAAATATTTGTAAAAATAAAAATTTATTAATACATTAATAAATAAAGTGTAGTTAAAGTAGAGCAAGTGAATAATGTACAATTCAACGAGGATGTTTGGCAAATGGACGTTGGCTATTACCTGCTGGCCAATTCTATAGGCTGATTGATGGTAGCGGGTTCTATTGGCTGGTTTGATTAGCTGTTATTATTAGAAGTTTGTAAAATGGTGTTTGGTAAAATAGCTGTTTATAATCGGCTGATAATTTGTTAAATAACTTTTATGGACATCAATAATTTTCTTGTTAATGTTATTAGTACAATTACTTAGGACGTTTTAAATTTATGATTTTAAAAATAAATTATGAACACAAGTACTACGTAATATTTACTTTAACATTTTTTCATGCATCAATAAATTTAGTAAGTATGAATATATTTTTCCTAATTAATGGAGTTAAGAAAAGTTGTCTAACAAAAAAAGAAAATTATATTTAAATATTAATATTATTGTCATCACCACCGTTTGTCAAATGTTATGCACTTCATGCAGGTTACATTAGCTATGAACAAGTTTTTATTTATGTGAGCTACGCATTGAGTAGCCTTTGGCGGAAGGTTTCGGTTCGGCTAAGGAGGAACAAATAAAAAGAAGTATGGATAATTGGATAGGATTGGAATATACTGAAAAGCTGACACTAAAAGCTAGGGAAGATAACTTTTTATGCTTTGGCTGTTTGGAATAAAAAGCTAAAAGTAAAAGCCATTTAACCAACCACCTTTACTGGTCAAAAGGCTAATTGCAATCAAATCAGCCAAAAAATGTTTGATACTTTATCAAGCAAACACCCCCAACACGTTGCACTTATTTTAAAAGATACGAAATGTGTCCTGATTTTAGGACCAAAATACTCTAGAATCACTACTTTAATATAAGAAAAAACATAAAAAATAATGTCAGATTTGAATTGTCATATAAGTACATAGTAATTAAAGGAATTAATTTGATACTCCTTAATTGCCATTTGCCAATTCCGTCAACTGATTCACCGTTACCCAGGGGTGAATGCCCTCCTCCTTTCACTGATTTTAAAGGTTCTTGCACCTAAAAAAGGTTGAAGGGCATGGATTGCCCTTGGTGCAGGGCGGAGCCAGTCAGGGGAGGGCCAATCCTGACCCTGGCCCAGCCTAAATTTAAAAAATATTCATATTTTTAGGGTAACAAATTCTGTGTAAAAGTTTTTTCAAATATATTCTTTGTATCGATCCAATCCACTCCAGTGCTCTGACTCCGTCAGGCCTGCTTTGGTGACAAGTTCAACGGGGATTTTGCCCCTTTTCCAAATCCATTTTCCCATTAATAAGCAAAGTAGCATACATTGTTCCATTCGTTCCGTTTTTAGAGGGGAAAACCAAAATAGCAACCAAACATTAACGAGTTTTTTTCCGGATTAATGTTAATTAATTAATTAATTACGAAATTAATGTTAGATTAAAACTATTTACCAATATACTATTGGGTCTAATCCTGGTCGGGGAAAGTCGCCAAACCGTTCGGCGACTCTCTAATTAATACCGAGAAACTACGTACAAGGGAAGCAGTCCGCTGGGAGAGTGGGAGACTAACAAGTGAACATCATCCCCTTTCATGCATTTCATCCCATCTTTTTCTCAAAAATGTTATAACCTTTTTATTTATTGTCTAATTTTTGTAAAAAATATATCAGATTTATTAATTTTTTATAATCTTTTCAATGATATCAATATTGTATACACAAAATTAAAAAAAAAACATTTTTTTTCTACATATCTATTTTTAGATGTTTTTTTTTTAAATTTTTTCATATGCAATATTAGTTCCATATGAAAGATTGTAACAAATGAAAATTTTTGATACTTTTTTTAAAAAATTGGATTAAAAATAAAAAAATAAAACAATTGCTAAATTGTAATGTATTGCCTTGCCACATGAGAGACAAATAGGGTGGGGTGAACATCACCCTCTCAAAGAAGGGTGAACAAAATTATTCTCACCAGGTGGAGCCAATTTAGAAGAAATCCTCTATTTTCTTTAAATGGCTATAATTTCATATTTTTCTTCCAATTTCTTTAAAACATATACCAAATTTTATAACTTTTTGTGATCTTCAATATGACAGCAATATGTAATATATAAAGTTTAAAAAAAAACTGAAGCCCATATGAGGTGAAAAACTAATTGAAATTATGCACCATCAATAAACTTAATTCTCAACCAGTTTAAACCAAAATTATGTATTCACCCTGTCAATTCAATTTTTTAATATATTTACCCAATATAGTTTTTAGTTAAATTCTTACACTTTTTAGAGCCCGTTTGGTAACACTGAAATCGGTTGAATCGACTGATTCTGCTGAAATTTATGAAGTTCTGGCTGAAGTGACTGTATTGGCTGATTTTGCTGATTCATGAAAAAATTAAATTTAAAATATATTTTATTAATAAAATAAAGAAAATATTGTGTGTAAAATAGCTAAAATGGTCCTCTACAGTAACTTCAGCCGATACAGCCAGAAAAGTAACTCCAACCTTACTTTTTGTGCTTATTACAAAATTCAGTGCGCGAAATCAAAAGTTACGTGTTTGATGAAAAAGCTGGCTGATAAGCTGAAAAAAGTGGTCACCAAACGGGCTCTTAATCTACATCAACTTTTAGCCAAAAAAAATTTACGAAAATCCGAGGATTCGATCACATACAGTTCTTTACGCTCTATTTTTAAGCTCAAAATATAAAACATTTCAATGCAAAATTCTGTGTATCTTTTAAAAATGTGTATTCACCCCGACCCAGCCAAATTTTAAAAATGTCTATATTTTTAGTGTAAAACATTATGTGTATTTTTTTTAAAAATATTCTTTGTACCGGCCCAGTGCCGTGGCTCTCCCGCTGCGTATAATGATCTCATTTCTAGTTATAACAAAGAGTGTCTAAAGTGCAATTTAGGAATTTAAAAATAGAGCGCAAAGAACTGTATGTGATCGAATCCTCAGATTTTCGTAAATTTTTATTGGTTAAAAGTTGATGTAGATTAAAAAGTGTAAGAATTTAACTAAAAATTATATTGGGTAAATATATTGAAAAATTGAATTGACAGGGTGAATACATAATTTTGGTTTAAACTGGTTGAGAATTAAGTTTATTGACGATGCATAATTGCAATTAGTCTTTCACCCCATATGGTCTTCATTTTTTTTAAACTTTATATATTACATATTGGTGTCATATGAAATATCACAAAAAGTTATAAAATTTGGTATATATTTTAAAAAAATTGGAAGAAAAATATGAAAGTTATAGTCATTTAAAGAAAATAGAGGATTTCTTCTAAATTGACTCCACCTCTTCTCATATGTGTTAATTAGAGTCCCCCAGACTGCTTCCCTTGTACACGGTTGATCCGTGTCAATAGGAGAGTCGCCAAACGATTCGATGACTTTCCCGTTAAGCCCAACAGTATATTGTTAAATAGTTTTAATCCAACATTAATTACGTTATTAATTAATTAATTAACATTAATCCGGAAAAAACTAAACATTAACCATCCTGTTTGGTTTTTTAGATCCATTTTGGTTTATTTTGCTGATCCATTCGGGTTTTGCAAGGACACTGAGGGCAGGGCATATGCTAGCTAGGCATTTGCTATGGCGTATGCCGACACTGCCTTAAGGGCTTAGCAGATCCATAAACCTCAATCCGCCATGGCAACCTACATACAAGCTTCATTATCCATTTCCCTTCGCTTTCTCATCGTCATCACGACCCTCTCGCTTTATGACGCTTCTTTCGCGCGCAGAACTAGTTCATCAGAATCAATCTGTGCCCTGACTCCCCATCCGGATTTCTGCAAATCTGAGCTGCCCAGAAACAGTTCCACGAATGTAAACGATTTCGGGAGAGTTTGCATCCGCCGTGCTTTGTCCAGTTCAAGGTTTTTTCTGTCAAGAGTGAATTCTTACCTCAAATCGAACACATCCTCATCGCCCATCACAACCCTTCATGTGCTTCGAGATTGCCGCTTCCTCCTCGATTTGAACGCAAATTTCTTGTCCGGCGTCGCCAGAGCCGTTGATTCGGCGAACCGTCTCCCCGATTCAGCGGCCGACGATAATGAAACGATACTCAGCGCCATCATGACTAACCAGCAGACTTGCTGGGACCAGCTCGTCACCACGCCGTCGGCTTCCGCCATCTCGAACGAGTTCTCTCCCTCTTTGGCCAACGGCAGCCTGTTGTACAGCGTAACCCTAGCGGTGTTCAAGCTCGGCTGGCCCGCCGCTCCTCGGGAACTTACCTTTGCGAACTTCGTCGCCGGGGAATACCGGGGCGTGAAGGTGAAAAAAGCGGTGGCTGTGAATCAAGACGGAAGCGGGGACTACCGAACCATCAACGCCGCGGTTGCGGATGCGCCGGACAATGCCAAATCCGGCGACGGTTATTACCTGATTCATGTGGCGGCCGGGGTCTATGAGGAATATGTTACGATCGGGAGTAAAAGGAAGTATGTGATGATGATCGGGGACGGCATAAATAAAACCATAATTACCGGTAATCGAAGTGTTGCGGATGGATGGACCACTTTTAATTGCGCAACTTTTGGTAAGTTTTATTATTTGCATTTTGGCAAGTTTTTTTAGGTGACAACTCCGGTACCTTTCTAAAAAATGGGGTACCGTACCTACAATTCATTTGATTGGACCACACCACTTTATCATTTTAATTTAGATTTAAATAATTAAACTGCTACATTCTCATTGGTCCATGTGGACAAAGGTATGGTACCTTATGGGTACCATAGAATCTACCTTTTTTTTATTGTACCACATGGATTACGCCTATCAAAGTTATATAGGGGTTTTAGTTTACTAACAATTTTTTTGTTATATATTGACAATTTTAACCATCTAATCCATTACTAAACCTGACACCTCGTCGGCTATGACTAGAGGTGAGCACGGGTCAAGACCTCACCGGAACTGAAATTCTCAGAAACAGTGGACCGAAGATCGGACATGTATAATCTTCGAGCAAGACTGGACTTGACCGGATTATTCCAGGTTTGATCAGTCTGGACCGGTATTAACTTTGATGGCTATTAATTTGTTCAAAAGTAAACCTTGGTTGAATAATAATTCAAACAAAACTATATATAATTAGTTATTAATATGTGTTACATATTAATACATTTTAGAAAGAAAATATATTTTAAAATCACAATAATTAATTAATTATTCCGGGTTTGGACCGGAACGGAACCAGAAACTTCAAAAATCATTGTTCACAGATCGAGCTAGTATGTAGCCGGTTCGGTTCCGGTCTGGACTGATCGGTTCGGTTTTCCAGTCTGGACAGAAATATGTTCACCCCTAGCTATGACCACAGAGAACAAGACCTATCAGAGTCTCAACCGATTAGACTTGTATTCATCACAATTGTTTCGACCACTAGCCGTTCTCAGCCAAGGTGTGTACAACCTAATTATCTCCAGTGAAACATGTTCAAACTTCATAGGACAAAATCTATCTCCATGCCCAATGATACCAATATACCATACACAATCCAAAGTTAGAGGATTTTTTCATATCTTAAATTAATCCAAAACCAATTACACCATCCATTCTAAGTTTCATTCTTTTTTTGAGAGGATTACCAATATCAAGACAGATACAGATCTACATATAAGCCTTCCTGAAATCACCAAATGTATTATCATCAACCTTTTTAAACTTTCCTAAAAATTTCTCAATCCTCTGTGCAAGTTTTAAGGACAGAAAACTGACCAGCAAATTTGGAGTTGTATCCAAAATTCTTCTAGATTAACGGAACTTTGAGAAGAAAATCATCTAATTTAAATTCATGCAAAATTAAAGAATTTTGTTCAAATAACAAAGGACTATATTATTTCCATCATTTGAAATGGAGTCAAAATATTCACTATTTTTTGACCGTGAATATGATGGAATAAAGCAAAATGGCTCACTAGACTGTTTGCGTTTCTTTGTTATGAAGCAATAGTCAATCCTTACAATTTTCGACGTGATTTTCACCTTGGGTCATCCGGAAAGAGACCTTCTGTGCTTTAGTACATGAGTAATGCTGCATACATCCGACTTCTTTATCCCACAATAGGTGAGAACTTTTGCGACACTGAGATAATGATGATCTAGGTAGTTAAGTTGCTACCCGGTAGTAACTCGGTCAAGGACCGAGTAGTGAGTAGCAACGATTACTCGGGATTACTCGACCTCGTATTAATTAAATTTAATAACATAAATGCCAGTGATTATAGAAATATAATAGTCTTAAAATTATCTTAAAATGCATAGAAATGGATAAAATGATAGAAATGCTAATGATGGAGTAGAAAAAGTCATCAACATTCTAAGTTTTCAAGAAACTCAATCATCTAATAATTTCGTAAGATCTCCGTTCTCTCCCCATGTCCACCCTATATCATTCGATTTTCTCTCAAGTGTAGTATTAGCATATTCAGCCCCATTAGAAGCCTCAACATGCTGAACAAAGCTCATGATTGTCAATTAGATGATGTGTGACAGTGTGTATCAATCAATGATATGCCATAGTAAACAATCAATATAGTGATATTAATTAAAAGTTACGTAGTATAATATATATATAGTCTATAAAAACATATTTATTGATACTTTGAAATAAAAATCAACTAAAGGATGAAAGAGTAGAAGAAGAAGAAACGAGAGAGGAGAGAGGGGAAGATACGAGAAAAACGATGACAACTTATTGAAAAATTGTAGTCACAGCTCTAGGGGGATAGTAGATATCAGAAATTCCGTTCAATCTAGGTTTTGTAACTTAATTTTTCAAATTTTTAAGGGGGGCCGAGTAACTCACCGAATTGAAAACTTTACCGAGTTGAGAAACTCGCCGAGTACTCGGCGAGTAACTCGGAAATAAAACACGGACCGAGTTAGGTCGCTACTGACCGAGTTACATATCATGCCCAAGCCCCTTTTAAAGTTTTGAAACGCATCTTGATCTAGAACGAGTACAAGAATTTAATACTCTATCCGGTCCACAAAAAATGTGACACTTTCAATTTTGAATTTGATTCCATATTTGACCCATTGACATGCCTAGTCAGGGGATAACAGTTCCGAACTATTAAGGAGTTGACCCGTTAAAAAGTTCAAATTAACAAAAGTTATGAATACAGACATTGTTGACCCGTTAAAAAGTTCAAATTAACAAAAGTTACGCTTTATTAGTAGTATGTTAAAAGTATACGTAAATTATTTGTTACTACCTCCGTCCCATTAGAAGGTTCCCGTCCACTATTTGCATGGTCAACTTAAATCATTTTTAATCGTTTACTTTATAAATCAAATTTCTATCAAATTTACATTTTTTATCAGCCTTTGTAGTGGTTTTAATGTAGTTTCTGAATATATTAATTTTATTTACTAAAACTAATCAGAGTCTGAATAGGAATTAAGTTGCTTTATCGTCAATCAAGCATCGTAAATCGTTCACGGGAAACTTCTAGCGGGACGGAGGGAGTACAAGACATGTTGGGTCTAGATATAGAACACATATTGTAAACACAAATGCTAAAGGTACCCCAAAATGTACCCCATTTTTACCCCCACCCCCTAATGTGTGGCCATAAATGGGGCAATTCATTTAAGTGGGGCAACACTTAAATGAATTGGTCCATTTATGGCCACAAATTAGGGGTTGGCGTAAAAATAGGGTACATTTTGGGGTACTCCTAGCAAAACTCTATTGTAAAACTATATTACATGTATCATGTATGCAGCTGTAAGTGGAGAAGGATTTGTGGCAGTAAACCTCACATTCAGGAACACCGCCGGAGCAATCAAGCACCAAGCAGTGGCAGTCCGAAACAACGCTGATCTCTCCACGTTCTACAGATGTAGCTTCGAAGCCTACCAAGACACGCTCTTCGCTCATTCTCTCCGACAGTTCTACAGGGAATGCGATATCTACGGCACCGTTGATTTCATCTTCGGCAACGCCGCTACCGTCCTGCAGAGCTGCAGCATACACCCGCGCTTGCCAATGCACGGTCAGTTCAACGCCATCACCGCACAGGGCAGAACGGACATCAACCAGAACACGGGAACATCCATCCACAACTGCACTGTCACGGCAGCCCCCGACTTGGCGGCAAGCAATGGCACCACACAGACATTCTTAGGCCGGCCCTGGAAAGAGCACTCAAGAACGGTGTATATGCAGACGTTCATGGATGGGTCGATTAGTCCTGGTGGCTGGTCGGAGTGGACAGGGGATTTTGCTTTGAGGACGTTGTATTATGCGGAGTATGAGAATAGGGGTCCTGGTTCAAGTACTGGGAAAAGGGTAATGTGGCCGGGGTATCATCGCATCATCAACGCCTCAGATGCTGCTCATTATACAGTGACGCAGTTTATAGCAGGCCACCGTTGGATTCCTGCCACAGGGACTCCGTTCACTAGTGGTTTAATTACAAATCAATAAGTCATTTGCTATATTGGCTATAATTAATGTTCTATTGGACTTGTATGAGCCCCAAACTAATACCTAAGTTGCCAACCAAATAAAATCACTATAGGATTAGCTTGTACTATGTATTATGAGGAGTATTATATGTAGTTTTGTTATTATTATTCTAACTTCGTTTAGATTGAAATTATCTAGCTTGGTCATTGGTTTTGCATGGTTGTTTAAGAGCGGTAAATGTAGGTCAATTAAGCATCATATAGTCTAGGAGTCTAGTCTTATCTGAAATGTTTCATGTTGGTCAAAGCCTAGTCTTTTATTTTAAACTTGTTTTATAATATCAGCATGTTTCATTTAGTCAGTTACATTTTCTTTTGTAGTTACGTGTGCATTGAACATGTCAAACGAACATGCATACGTATAGGAGTAGTGGTTGCTATTTTTTCTCAACTACTTGCCCCATTCTCGAGTTGTATATAGTAAGAGGTGGGGCTGGAGGTTTTTTCATCCAATTGCACTTTGGGTTTTTCCTCCGTATGACAAAAGTAAAGAATACACAAGAAAGTAGTTTTGTGTGATCCTCATATTGTTTTGCTTCGTATACTGTGTGTGTGTGTATTCATAACTGTGTTGCAACCTGGGCTAAACATTCTACACGTGGTATCAGAGCCAGGTTATACTCAATCATGAGTACCGCTTCATCTGAGAGTGAAGATGGAAACGTTGGAGACACACACCATAGCGATGACAGGGTGAAGATCCAAGATAAGGAGGGATCAATCACTTTGAAATACCCTATGCTGACAAGGACCAACTATGCAGCCTGGGCTATCAAGATGGAAGTCTTCATGATAGCCCAAGGAGTTTGGGATGCAGTAGAATCCTCAGAACCAGTTGATAATAGAAGGGATAAGATGGCCCTAGCAGCTATTTATCAAGGCATAAGAGAGGATACATTGTTGCAGTTAGGAGCAAAACGAACTGCCAAGGAGGCTTGGACCATGCTTAAAACAATGAATCTAGGTGCTGAAAGGGTCAAGGAAGTTAGGACTCAAGCACTATGGAGGGAATTTGATGGAATGCAGATGCATGATGGTGAAAATGTTGATGAGTTTGTAGGAAAACTACAAATGGTGGTGACCAAGTTAAGAGGGCTTGGTAATGTTGTTGAAGAAGAGAAAGTGGTGAAGAAACTTCTGAGAGCAGCACCACCAAAACTCTTACAGATTGCATCTACAATTGAGGAATTCAGTGATCTGAAGGTTAAAACTACAGAAGAAATCATTGGTTCATTTAAGGCTCATGAGGAAAGAATGAAAGTTCCTCATGTGGAAGAAGGAGAAACTGTGTTGTTGTCTAGAGCAGAATGGGAGAACTTCAAGTCACAAACCAGGAGCAGTAGAGATCCAACTACCTCAAGAGGAAGAGGTAGAGGTCGTGGCAGAGGGAGAGGAAGTGCAGGCTTACATGGAGAAAAGGAAGAATCCAAACAGAAGAAAAAATTTGACAAATCCAAAATAAAATGTTATGCCTGTGGAAAGATGGGCCATTTTGCATCTGAATGCCAATCTGATAATCAAGAAGAAGAAGTCCACTTGGCTGAAGATGATGAATCAGAACAACCCTCTTTGATGATGATTGAGATCTGTGAGCTGACCAAATCCCACAACTCACAGAATGCAGACAGTTTGCATGGTGAGGGAAAAGAGGACACTACAGAATCCTGGTGGTACTTGGACACAGGGGCAAGCAACCATATGACAAGTAAAAAAGGTTACTTCTCAGAACTTGATACATCTGTACATGGAAATGATAGGTTTGGAGATAATTCTATGATAGATATACAAGGGCAGAGACTGTGTTATTTCAATGTAAGAATGGGGAACACATGATCTTGTCCAATGTATACTTCATACCGAAGTTAAGAAGCAATATCATAAGTCTAGGACAACTTGATGAATCTGGGAGTCAAGTTGTTATAAAGGAAGGAACACTGAAGATCTATGATGAGTCAAACAAGCTTATGATCAAAGTACAAAGAAGACACAACAAACTGTTCACAGTGAATATGAAAATTGCTCAGAAGATATGCTTATTGACAAGCATAGAAAGACAAAGCTGGTTATGGCACGCTAGGTATGGACATCTTAACTTTCAGGCACTAAAGAAGCTTACAAGTCAAAAGATGGTAGAAGGTATGCCTGAAATCACTCAAAGCAATCAAGTCTGTGATGGTTGTATGATAAGAAAGCAACACAGAACAAGATTTCCTCAGAATGCAGTGTTCAGAGCAAAGGAGAAGCTTGAATTGGTTCATGGAGACTTATGTGGACCAGTCACGCCACCTACACTTGGAGGAAATAGTTACTTTATGCTCTTAGTAGATGACTATTCACGCTATATGTGGATATCATTGCTAAAGCATAAGAGTAAGGCATTTGAGGCATTCAGAAAGCTAAAGCAAAAGATGGAAAATGATGCAAATAAGAAGCTGAGATGCCTGAGGACTGATAGGGGAGGTGAATTTAACTCTCAAGAGTTCAAAAGCTTCCGTGAGAATGCAGGAGTAACAAGGCAATTGACTGCACCATACTCACCTCAACAAAATGGTGTGGTGGAGAGGAGAAACCAAACTGTCATGGAAATGACAAGGAGCTTAATGAAAAGCAAGTGCATGCCTGCAAAGTACTGGGGAGAAGGAGTCAATATCTCAGTATATCTGCTGAATAGGGCTCCAACTAAAAGTGTAGAGGGTATGACACCCTATCAAGCTTGGCATGGCAAGACTCCAAATATAAAGCACCTGCGTGTGTTTGGATGTTTGGCACATGTTAAGATTGTAAAACCATATCTTAACAAGCTAGATGATAGGAGTATCAAGGCTGTTTTACTTGGTTATGAGGAGGGGTCCAAAGCCTATAGGCTGCTAGATCCAGTCAAAGAAAGAGTTCTAGTAAGCAGAGATGTGAAGTTTGAAGAAGATAAAGGTTGGAGTTGGGAAAGAAAAGAAGACAGACATGAAGGGGAGGATAAAGATATGTTCACAGCTCATGTGAATGGAAAGGAACAGAATGAGGGGATGAACCCCCCAACACCAAGCTCAGGGAATGAACAAGGAGACAATGTGTATGCCTCACATGAGTCTTCTGTGAATACACCCAGATCCCATTCTAGCACCAACTCAAGTGAAGGACCTCTACATTTCAGATCTCTGCAAGAGCTCTATGATGCAACTAGGGAAGAGAATGAGGAACTGAGTTTGTGTTTTCTGTCTATAGAAGAGCCAAGTAATTATTCAGAAGCTGCAGGTCAGGAGGAGTGGAGACAGGCAATGGCACTTGAAATTGACTCTATTCAGAAAAATGGAACTTGGGAGATGACAGATCTACCAAACAAACACAAGGCCATAGGTTTGAAATGGGTCTACAAGTTGAAGAAAGATCCAGAGGGCAACATCATAAAACATAAGGCCACACTGGTGGCAAAAGGCTACATACAGAAATATGGAGTGGATTACACTGAAGTGTTTGCACCAGTAGCTAGAATAGAGACAGTCAGAACTCTATTGGCCATTGCAGCCCACAAGGAGTGGGAAGTTCATCATCTAGATGTGAAAACTGCATTCCTTAATGGAGAGCTAAAAGAGGAGGTGTATGTAATGCAACCAGAAGGTTTCATTGATCAGAGGAATCCAAAGAAGGTGTTAAAGCTACATAAGGCCCTGTATGGACTAAAGCAAGCTCCTAGGGCTTGGAATGAAAAACTTGACAAATGCTTGAAGGCATTAGGATTCAAGAAATGCATGTTTGAATATGCAGTGTATATGAAGAGAACTGGAGAGTATATCACAATTATTGGAGTATATGTTGATGACATAATCCTCACAGGATCATGTTCTAAGCTCATCAAAGTTTTCAAGGAAGAGATGATGGGGCAGTTTGAGATGAGTGATTTGGGGCTTCTATGCTACTATCGGGGCATAGAAGTAAAACAAAGCAAGGAGGCTGTCAGTTTATGCCAATCAGGTTATGCAAAGAAGATATTGGAGAAGATGGGGATGAGTAGCTGTAATCCATTTAAAAACATCATGGAATAAAAAAAATGAAAACAAGTTTAAGGGGGTGAGTGTTGGTCAAAGCCTAGTCTTTTATTTTAAACTTGTTTTATAATATCAGCATGTTTCATTTAGTCAGTTACATTTTCTTTTGTAGTTACGTGTGCATTGAACATGTCAAACGAACATGCATACGTATAGGAGTAGTGGTTGCTATTTTTTCTCAACTACTTGCCCCATTCTCGAGTTGTATATAGTAAGAGGTGGGGCTGGAGGTTTTTTCATCCAATTGCACTTTGGGTTTTTCCTCCGTATGACAAAAGTAAAGAATACACAAGAAAGTAGTTTTGTGTGATCCTCGTATTGTTTTGCTTCGTATACTGTGTGTGTATTCATAACTGTGTTGCAACCTGGGCTAAACATTCTACATTTCAAACCAATCTATACGTAATCTAATTAAATACTATCCTCCGTATCTCATTAATTGCAACATTAGAATATATACACTATTCATGTACTTTACTTTGACTACATTTTATTTATTAATGTATGTGAATTATTTTTTTTGAAAAATGTTGTTAAATTCGTCTCATTACTAAGTTTTATAATCTGATTTTTATTTTATTTTTACTAATACAGAATTAAATATAATGACGGTCAAAGTTGTGCGTTGGCAAACGTGAAATGTTGACTGTTGCAACTAAAAAGAGACGGAGGAAGTATGATTTCGCACCCCAAAACTTACTCCTAAAACTTACTAGGGGCACCCTGCCACCCTCTATTCCCCTTTGAAGATAGCTCACCAAACTCACTCCGATCCAAGTACATACTAGCGGTAGCACCAAACTCCTTGTATTGCTTTTTAAATTAAAAAATGGATTTTTACATATCCTTAAATTTTGTTTTAATTTTTTTTAAAAACGACCACTTTTAAAGTATACTCAAAATCTTAATTTAATCAGGATTATGAATTTTGAAATTGCTATCGAACAAATACTATATAAATATTTCCAACACATTATAATGCTTTTATAAATTCTTTACAATCTTCTTTTTGCAATGAGTGATGAATTTGTAGATTATTTAAAAATATTAATCTTAAGAGACTTTAAGACTAATGAGATACTTATTTATCT